TTGGCACTGACCAGTAGTATGCTCGCAAAATGGAATATCCCCGCTTTTTTTAATGGTATATATATAATTCTGACTACAAAACACCATAACAAACGTCTCGCACTGAACATGTATATGTAGTTATTGAACAAAGAACAGTAATGGATAGATGTATTTGTCAAACAATCTCTAAATAGTTGATACTTGTATATAGCTCACAATTTCCAAAGTTGATAGTCTTTAGTAATAATTGTATGATAATAATGAACGAAATGGGAACACATACAATCAGTGTGAGATGCTTCCACCGCCTTGGGCAATATTAGTTGACATTTCTTGACCCTTAGTGCCATTTCCGCCACGATTTGTTAAACACTCGTTCACTGAACAAGGCATACTAAGTATGTCTTCACATGGCGACTGGACGGAGTCTGCACCAGTCATCTTGCAGCGCTGTGCCAAGTTCAGCCAGGTCGGCGGAATTGGACGTTGATAAACACACCTCCTTGTCATGTCTGAGAAGTACTTAAGGGGGAAACGTTCTGGATGATGTGCTTCCGGTGGTGAGCAATGACAACACGTGCGCGGCGACGTTGTTGTCGTGAAAGGATAACGTCGACAGCCGCCTTGCAAACATGACAGCAAAGGGTACAAAGAGGCTATCCCCTCCAGTGACCCTTTCATCAATAATTATGGAATTGCGTTTGCGCAGAAATGGGGAAATCTGTCATCAGGTGTCAGGGTGACTTTCATTTCACCACTCTTATCATGGAGGTACGAAGTGAGTTAGACTCATCTCAAAATATGTGACTTTCTACAACCAGTTTCAGCTTGCGTCCCCAGTTGGCATATGTTTGAGATACCTCGTACAGGCATCACAGGCCGTCGAGATGCATGGAGACGATTTCCTATCATTTGACCCATAACGCACTCTCCATAAGCCCGATGAAAGAAATTTGTGAGGCCGAGCGTGCTTGATATAGGAGGGCCTGGTTCGTCATCAATCCCTCATGTACTCTTCTCTTTCACCCGCGACGCCCCTTCTCTTTCACCTGCGTCGTCAACAGTTTGGGTTTGTTGGTACCTGCTCCATAGTCTGCTAATTGCCTCGACACCAACACGAGCAAACAATCGCATGCATTTTGGTGTTACCTTTTACAGACGTTTATGCAGAGCATGTTTGCCATCTTGTCTTTACTCTAACACTCGGTATTAACGTCTATGGTTCATGATTCCCTACTACTTTTTAAGACCACAGTGGACTTCTTTATTACTACGCTGTCAATGAATACATGGATACAAGTTTTGTGTCTGTGCATATAAATGAAGGCTTCTGAAGTACTTTTTCCACCGCGTGACCTGACTGCCGTCACCTCAGTATATAACCACCAATGTACCCTGGGTGCTCTAGTCGGGTTCCTCTTATCTACATTCAACAGTTGGCCATAAATCGTTTTTTCACAATGACGTACAAGCGAGTGTAGCTGTATGACGCTATGACAAAGTTGTGTATTTTCGTATCAAGCGTATGCGAGAGAATGTAGTTCCTCATTCCTCTCACGTGTGTGCGATAGTTTTCGTAGAACATGATTAATTGTTAGATGTATGAACTTACGATAAGGTTGTGAGCAGCTTAAGTGGCTATGGGGCCGTGCATTGTATCAGAGTACAGATCCTACATACTGCATGGACAAACACATTACATCGCATTTTGCTGTGTCTGCCACTTTCTCAATACGTGCACAAATCTAGAGTCACAACCAGCCAACACAACAACATCCTACATGTTATCTGATCTCTGATAAGTCTCACAATGCAGGGATACAATGGAATGTGTACAGTCAGCTGATGGTGACCACCGTCTGATATGCTTCTAAAGTTGCTTGGTATCTTTGGACTCGTGATATGCACGCCACGTTTTAACATCGGGAAAGTTAGTTCTCATAGTTAAGTGAGTAGTGCAGGCTTGAGAGACACTCGGAGCTAGGTCCCTGCCATCCATTCCGTGACGAGCCTCACCGGTCCGGGTATTTGTGTATTCAGAGACCGGCTGAAGTCAAGTTTACATGAGTTTCAAACCTTGTGTTTCATCACTATCAACACTTGGAGTCCACTGACCATCCAAGATTGCCTGCCCCAGTAGAGGTCCGAACAGCAATCAATTTCATGATTCCTATGTCCCAAGCAAACGCAAATCCTTCAGTCCATGTTGTTATACGTTTTCAAATCGCACGCAAGGGTCCAATTGAAACTCTAAACGTCTGTAATACAGTTACGTGCTTCCCGCTGTTTCGATCTGCATGCGATAGATAATCACTGAGTTCCTACAATGGTGTCGGCCACAAACGGAGACAAAACAATTACTCGTAGTATTGAAAAGTACAGAAACTTTGACATACATGCTTAGGGAAACAGTAACAAACAAACCGTTAATCCGTACAATAACAGTGCTACCTGTCATAATTATATATTGTACATTTTATAATTGAATGCTACTACCTAACATATACTACCCATAACAAATTTAGACTCACTTAAAGCACTCACTATATGTTATGTATATATACTAGCCACATAAAGAAACTGTGCATTGTCAAAATATTATCCCAGTTGATAAGTACGATAACAATGTCAAAGGTACATATAAACTTTAATGGAGGGATCATGAGACCATAACAAGTCGGGAGAATTTCAATTGATAAGTCAATCACAATGACGTCACGAGTCCACAAGCGGGACAGGGATCAAACGACCATGTCACAAGCTCAATAACGGGTATGTCCACCATCGGCATTGAGCCTATCAAACGTGCAAGGAAAGCTTGTGGGATGTCACGCCAGATTCTCTCAAGTTCTGTTGCAAGGTCAAGGACGTTATCTGGCGAATGAGGAAGACGTCGATCCATCTCGTCCCAAACATGCTCTATCGGGGAGAGATCCAGTGAATTTGCAGGCCAAGGCAGTAAGTCAACGTTGTGGTGTTGCAAGAAAACCATAGCAACCCTTGCCGTATGAGGGCGGGCATTGTCCTGTTGGACTGTTAACCAAGGGCCATGACGTTGCAGTAAAGGAATTGCCACAGGTCGAAGAATCTGATCCCTGTAGCCCACACAAGTTAAGTTGCCCTGAACAATCACCAAAAGAATTCTTTGGCGTGCTGTAAATCCACCCCAAATCATCACGGAACCACCACCAAAGCGATTCCTCTCCAAGACACAGGCCTGTGCATAACGTTCTCCCACGCGTCTATAGGCACGTTGACGTCCATCACTATGGGAAATGTTAAACCTGGACTCATCTGTAAAAACAACATTTCTCCACCAAAACAAGGGTCTGCAGACATGATTTCAGCAGCACATTCGGCGACCTTGTCGATGACATTGTGTCAGGATAGGACGTATGGCGGGAAGTCGTGGTCTGATCCCGTGATGACGTATACGTTGTCGAACTGTGTTGGGGTGGATACGGCGAAGTCCTGGGATGGTTCGGGCAGTCATCACTGCAGTCTGAGAAACCTGTGGCGAAGATGGATCACCCTTATCCATATGTCCTGTCTTGGCGTTGTTACACGTGGACGTCCAGAACGTGGCCGATCGATGACGTCATTTGTGTTCTGGTAGCGTCTCACCAGTGCAGAAATGATGTTCCGGTGGCAGTGGAAATGTGAAGCCACTTGTCGTTGAGACATTCCCCCACGGACCATCCCAATGTCCCCATGACGTTGTGCAGACGTGAGCCTTGGCATGCTATGCGTTTCAATAGCCGTTAATTTTTTGAACGATCGCAAGGGCAGGGGTTGAGCTTTCCAAAGTGACAGTATTGTGTGGCATTCATTTGCTCTGTTTCTCTTTCCCGGAATGCACGTGCAACAACGTATTGCACGTCTCAAGGACGAACCCACTGACGTCACGGAACGTGGCACGTGCATGCATGTTGGATACATATCACTAATCTCTGGGTTTAAATCCTTATGTGTCTACACAGGTTTGATAAATTTAGATTTTATATTTTTCTATGCACAGTTTCTTTCTTTTTGTTACAATACATCAGTTCATGTGTAAACAGTACCTTAAACAGTATGGAATATTTAGCAAAATCTAGTGTAAAACAGTTGACTGATGTCAGTGGCTACATTTACACTAGTGAGTCTAAACTTTTGATGGGTTTTATACCACATGGAGGCGGAGCATGTCCTTCTACAAACATCACGTACGTTAGTTAAGCGGGTTTGTCAACTGTGAACACACACACACACACACACACACACACACACACACACACACACACACACACACACACACACACACACACACACACACACACACACACATGAAATAAAATAATGGCTTCTGTCTCCAAAGTCTCCCAACCGTGTGGCTGAAGCTCATTTACTTCAAAAATAAAAGCGACCAAACCCTTTTCACATCCATAAGAAATCTCTGCTGAAAGGAGAGTCAATTGTACAATTGTCACAATATCATGTGTTCAAATAATCACTTTTAATTTATTTCTCCCAAGTTCACATAGAAAAGTCAATATTTGTAGTTCTGAACAGAATTGGATCAATTCAACACAAGTGTCCTTGATATAGATTTACTGCAATAGAGAATTAACGGTATCAATAGTTCCGTATAATATTACCAGTATAATAACATTAATAGGAACAACAAGTCTTTATGGATCAGGGCGGTGGGGTAGCCTAGTGGTTAAAGCGTTCGCTCGTCACGCCGAAGACCCAGGTTCGAATCCCCACATGGTCGAACTGGCAGGTCCCTCTACACGTCAAACCGTCCCTTCTGTATCGTGTTTAGATCTATACATCCATGTATTTTTTTCTTGTTCCCATTACTATTTGTTACTAATGACATCTTTCAATCAATTTCCCTTTTTCACAGCTTTTGCACTTTTTGAACCTTTTTCGCTGGATAGTGGAGATTGACGCTCTATATGGATATGAACATGGTTTTGTCGCCTGTATATACCTGGGCATATAGCTATGTAGTGGGGATTCATGCAATATCTGACAAGCTTGAACATGTCACAATTGTTGTGCTCTTAGTTATACCGACAGTCAGGCGACATTTGTTTGAGGTAAGACACTTGTTTCATCTATGACTCTTCTAGTATCATTGTCTCTATACGTGTCTCAGTTGTTATTTGAGAGAACAGTTGCATTGTTAACCATCCGTTTCTCTCAGTTATATGTGAAGATGTGTACATGTCAGATATTCGAAGCTACGATTGAGTGGTGAACAGCTTAAACCTATGTAGGGCAGGACAGTATATGTGAGTGCAATGAGATAACGGATATACTGTACATGTCAAGTCGTGAAACAAATCCGGAAAGGTTATAAACCACTTTGCTTAAACTCTCATAGTTAAAACGAGCAAGGTTCAGGCACAATTTGTGAATATGGTAGTGGGTAATAGTGACGCTTGTTCTATGATGATCACTCTCTGTAAGCACATTATTAACTGGATATCAAATCTGTAACTCTCAAGATTTCTTCCTGTCGCAGAGTGCTATGTCAATACTGTATACACTACTAGTCAAGTCCCAGTAATATGACGCCATGTGAGTGTCTGTGTCATGCTTCCCCTCAAAGCATGCTCTGCGTGGAGTGCGGAAGGTTCGTGGTGCAATACCAGTGGCATCATGTTGTATTATGTTACTGGATGGTATTTGTTTTTACTCTTCCTGGCGATCGTCATTGATGGGCCAAAGGAAGGAGCGGTCGGCTGTGTGTCAGTATACCTTGTGTGAGTTGGGTGTTCGTGTTGAAACTGCGACATGGTATCTGAGATGCCTTGGAATGTAAAATCTCCATAAAAACTTGCACTACAAACACACATCTGACACATTTCACTGACATGCCAATTCCACTAACACACACAAATACTCTCATCTCTCCCACACATATAACACTCACACATTTCACAAAGACACGCATCTCTCATACACATCTCTCACACAATTCTCACATGCACATAGCGCTCGCATCTAACTCTCACACATTTCATTAAAACACATATCTCACACATACATCACGCACACCTCACATACATATAACACACACATATCTCACACAAATCACACAAACATCGCACAACACATCTCAGAACCACATCTCCCAGACATCTTACACACACATCACACACATCTCATAAGCACATCACACACATCCTAGACATCACACACACATCACACATATCATACACACATCACACACATCTCTCTCTCTCACTCTCTCATACACACATTTCGCAAGCACACACTCTACCACTTACCACACAATGTACACTATACCCGGCATATAAGCTTATCTTACGTCGCTATGTTTGTGCCAACGATTTCACTTTATCTCACTGCATGATTCAATACCTGGTGTTACATTTTTTTAATGTACGTGTCATTTGAGTCAACTTGCTGATATCAGCTAACCGACACGGGAACGTGGTGACATTATACACATACAAACGAGAAATATCCAATCATCGAGGGAAAAAAGTACCAGCGCCTTGAGCATGTACTAGTTTAGTAGTTGGGTGGATAAGTGCGCTATATAAATATCCTATCCTAATACTATCCTAAATAGTACACACGACTCCCACCAAGGCTGGTTTTCAGGATCACTACGTACAAATTGTAAAGTGCTTCTGAGCTTATGTTTACTGTCTGGCGGTTCGTCCGCCAGTTATTTGCGTGGTCTTCATTAAAACATATGAAACCATATAACCTGTCGAGGCTTAGATGGGTCTATAAATTTTGTAACCTTGATCACACAACTCTTGAGTCAGAGCAGTTTGAGGCATTTTGAAACCTTGTCGGCGTTTACATGTTTGATTGTACCCAGAGTTGTCAAATGTGCACACACTAGAGGAGCTGCTGGAATATTACTGGTAAATAGGAAGTCGGGTCAAACAGTGTTAAGGAGATGGTTTTGTCTCTGAATCTCAAGGTTTTAGTGGCACTGCCAGCAGTGTTTCACATTTGCTTTCTGTCATAGCCCCAAGATTTAACCGTTTGCAAGGGCCATATGCAATTGATGATAAAGATATAGATGTAAATATATATATATATATATATATATATATATTACTTCCCCCATGTTTAACCTAACGTCCCTGCGAACCGAAAAATGTCGCAGCTGATTGTCAACTGTAACCTCATGCCAAACTGTTGTCTTAGTTATACCGACAGTCAAGCGACATCTGTTTGAGGTAAGACACTTGTTTCATCTATGACTCTTCTAGTATCATTGTCTCTATACGTGTCTCAGTTGTATAAGGTTATAAACCCCTTTGCTTAAACTCTCATAGTTAAAACGACCAAGGTTCAGGCACAATTTGTGAATATGGTAGTGGGTAATAGTGACGCTTGTTCTATGATGATCACTCTCTGTAAGCACATTATTAACTGGATATCAAATCTGTAACTCACAACATTTCTTTCTGTCGCAGAGTGCTATGTCCATACTTTATACACTGCTAGTCCCAGTAATATGACGCCATTTGAGTGTCTGTGTCATGCTTCCCCTCAAAGCATGCTCTGCGTGGAGTGCGGAAGGTTCGTGGTGCAATACCAGTGGCATCATGTTGTATTATGTTACTGGATGGTATTTGTTTTTACTCTTCCTGGCGATCGTCATTGATGGGCCAAAGGAAGGAGCGGTCGGCTGTGTGTCAGTATACCTTGTGTGAGTTGGGTGTTCGTGTTGAAACTGCGACATGGTATCTGAGATGCCTGGGAACATAAAATCTCCACAAACATACACTACAAACACACATCTCACACTCACACACACATCTCGCACACACATTTCACTCACATCTCAGAAACACATTTCACATAGATCTCACAAACACATATCACAAACATTATACACACATCCCACACACCCCTCACATATATCTCACAAACCTCATACACACATCCCACACCCCTCTCACACTTCACGTACATCTCAGAAACAGATTTCACACAATTCCACACACATCTCAAATACACACCACGCCCTTCTAACACACATCACGCACTTGCACACATTTCACAAACATCTTACACACATCTCTCACTCACACACACCTGAGACACATCTAACACATCACATACACATCTCTCACATATCCTACATACATCACACCCATCTCACACATCTAACACAGATCTCAGAAACACATCTCACACTCACATCTCACATACATCAAACACACACATCTCACAGACAAATCTCACAAACATCCTACGCACACCCAACACACCTCTCACACTTCACACACATCTGTGGTGGACCCGGGGGTATATTTGGTCCACAGCACCCCATTGCTGGCCTATTCCGATCTGGGCAACCTGTTTGCCGTGGGTTGCGCCCCTGTGTCGGGGGAGGACCGGAGTCTGGTGGTTGAGGGAACTGGTTCCATGAACAGTGTTCCTTTGCCAAACACACCACTTCGCCCCTGACTTCACCTAGACGGGTGGTTGAATGGGCCCGATTCAATCAATCGGCAGGTCACGTCATGCCCCTGCGCATAGAAATTATTTTTGCACACTCATTATTGAGTATTGGTCATTTTTATGTCTAGTATACAAATTGTTGATAAATTTACTTGCCTAGAAGCCTATGCCAGAAGGAGGTGGCTCATGGGCCAATCTGGTTATATTGACCTTTGAATTGGGCCTAACCAGTCTGGCACATATTCTTTAAGATATCATGGCTTTTCAAGTCTGTATGTTCTGGAGTATAACATCCCAGTGACCCTGGTGTTGCAGTCTGGTTTCCGCTGCAATATCGTCTTTGTTGACAGTCGATGGCGGGTGGGGAGCATGGTTGTTGAATTATATTATTACACTATGGCTACCAACCCTCAATCTGCTTCATCTAAAACATGCCCTCTTCATCCGATGAAGAGATATCAAATTTCAATAATGATTCCTAAAGTGCTGATGGGAATCCTTTATAGATCTATCCTTTTGCCGTGACCACGAGTATCCAATGTATCTGCGGAGAGGCAAAAAATGTCACTCGTCTCCGGAACAGTTCTCTTGTAATTGAATGCCTATGAAGGTAACAGTCTGTCAATCTGCTAGGACTACAGCAGTTTGTAAACAACCAGGTTGTTGTTTCAGTTCACAAAACTCTCAACATATGTAAAGACAGGGCCCGCTCAGATATGACAGAAGAAGAGATTGTAGCAGAGTTGAAAGACCAAGGAGTTACTTCAGTTAAACGCTTTAGCAGGAAACAAGAGTCAACATTTATAAAAACAAATACTTACCTGTTCCCTTTTAGCTTTACTACTCTTCTCAAATTATAAAGGTTGGATACTGTAATATCGGAGTGGAGGTATATGTACCAAATCCACTCCGGTGTTACAAATGTCAGAAGTTTGGACATGGTGCGAGGTCTTGTACTGGCAAGTCAGTGTGCTCACGCTGCAGTGGAGCTCATGAAAGTACTGAATGTACTAATGACATAAAGTGTGCCAACTGTAGTGGTGGGCATCTGGCATCATCGAAAGGTTGTCCAAAATTTGAGTGTGAGAACAAAATCCTGAAATTGATATACACTAATAATGTCCCATACATAGAAGCCAAAACCTGGTTCTGGCTCCACCAAGACCAGCTACAGGTCTCACATATTCTGCTGCAGCTTCTTCTCCTGCTCCTTCTTCTGTTAAAAAAGCATCGACTGTTTCAACTTCGTGTCAGACAGTCCTCTTGGGTAAATGACGCCCAGCTAACCTTTGATGACACGACTCAATCATCACAAGATTGTCATCGCTCATCAGCATCTCAGACTGAGGAGACCTAACCAGCACAAACTTTAGATATTGCTCCAAGTCCAGATACTCAGAGTGTTGCTAACCTCACAAGTAAGAAAAAGGAAAAAGTTGAGAAGAAAGACCAGAGCTCTTCAACATTTAGAAGAACATTCTCCTATAACACTTCCTGTGGCGGTTCAGAATCTTTTTGATCCGCTTGATATGGAGATATCTCCATGCGCTCACGATCTCCAGTTGAAGCTCCCTAAACTTTTTTATGAACCTAATACAATGGAATTGCAGAGGCCTACAAGAGACATACCTGAAAG